TTACGACCGCCTAGGCCAATTTTCTTTATGCAGTTACAACATTTCATCAAAGAGAAACTGGAAAAGAATGAATTCACAGCAGCTCTTGCAAATGAGGAATTAGTTTTCTTTATGGTATGTAGTCAATTTTCTTTCTTTTTAATTATTTCTGTACTCTTTTTTGCCTCAACTTTTTCTCAACAAATACGTCCCATTAAAGCATTTTCTTGTGGTATTCTCCTTAATCAGAGCTGCTCTCATCAAAACTCACTAGCTGAAAGCGTCACAAGTTTCGACTGAAAGAAATTTTCGAGAATTTGATATTGTTAACAGGTATATTTGATAGCAACTGTTACCATGTTGGCCTACAACAGCGGCTGTAACCATTACAAACATGAATGTATAATAGTTTGAAAGATATCCGATGCACGTTTTTGTTAGATTTTCTTATGTTCCAAATGGCCCTAAATCAAAGACCCTAATGAACTATCCCATCGAACCACTCATCTAGTATATTTTCAATCTGTTTGTTGATGTTGATGTCAGGCATAGAGGTGTCAAACGGGACGGGCCAGCCCAGCATGGCACAAGCCCAGCCCATTTAAATGGGGCATGGCACGGCATGAGCACGAATATTAGTGGGCCGTGCTGGGATAACAAAAAATTAGTATAATCACTGTGATATGAATTGATCTTTGACCTTCTCTAAAGATAGATGAAGTGTGACTGAACACAACATGAGCTTCCTTAGAGAATGGAAAGGCCGAGCGAGATTTATGTAGCCAACTTAAAGTAGTTGTATTCAGCTTAGCTGATTGTGATGTCAAGTATTGTCGACGAAATGAAATTTTCTATTGCTGTAACTTCTGCAAGATGGAATCTGTGTATTGACTATTTCAAGATTTTAGATTGGTATATAGTATATACTTGTTTGTAGTATAGCAGTGATAATTCTCTTAGAATTTGCTTTCTCCAGTTTTTGTTTAGGGCAAAGATTCATGAAGTTCCCAAATTGTGTGAGGAAGGATCTCCTAAAATGCCACTGCAATGTGCACGTGTTATAAGGTACGCAATTACAGTCACTTCAATCATACTCACTTAGCCAGTTAGTGATTGGGGTGACCAATCTAGAATTTTCAGATTCTTTAGAGGGCATGTGTTTGGTGTCGTTTTTTACTATTGTGTGATGTTATGAGCGAGCTGTTTCCTCAGGTTCTAATTCTGCTGTGATATTTATTATGTGGAGGATGGTCCGAGATGGCTATTTCGGCTTTAAAGACTATTTTCAATCTCTATGTGATACTGTGGACGGTGGTAAAGACTTCTATTTGCTTGGTTCTGATTTTGAGAGCTATTTAGAGGCTCAGGTAATTATTTCTGTTTACTTGGCAGTTCCAACCCAAAGCATATATATGCAGTTTGAGTTTGGTATTGTATGACTTACTATGGTGCATGGGATTTGAATCGATATGACTACAGGCTGCTGCTGATAAAGCATTTGGGGATCCAAATAACTGGACTCAGATGAGCATCCTTAGCACAGTCAGGTCAGAGAAGACTTGGGAATTGAGCCGTGCAGATTCCCTTATGATGGCTAGCTCACCCTCATCCACACCCTAGTAGCAACATTTTACAGATTTGAATGGAAGGTATCGGAAAGAATTTAAATTCTCATTCCCCAACATCGCTTGTATAAATAGAATAATTGAAGAAATAACTGTAGCCCAATGGGCTAAAGTGGTATTTTAGCCCTAAACCCTTAAGTGATGTGGCAAAATTGTATAGTTAAAAGGAGTATAGTTGCGCGGCTATACTCGTGTATAGCCGTTCGGCTACTCTCTTTAAATATTAGTATATTCGAATATTCTAAAAGTATAGCCGCGAAGCTCTACGCTTTCAATATATTCAACACGAACACGAAGCTTGCACTTGCAATCACAGCCATTTCGCTTCTCTGTCAACTCAACCTTCAATTTGTTTTCTTCAGTTTCGGCTGCTTCGTCCTCCAAGTTCGGCGCCGAAAAATGACCCAACCCGCCTAGCCGCCTAGGCCGATTTTTCAAACACTGCAATTGACTGAAAGTCTGAAACTCGAAATTGAAAAAATTTCGTTGTAAATTTGAGCTTGAGATTGTAATTGGGAAGCACAAGTCAGTTCCATAGAAGAAGAGATCATGAGACTCTTAATTCATCTAATTCCATTCCTCTCCATGTTTCCCGCCTTATTCTCTTCTCTCTTGGCTCTCTCCCAAACGACTTGTTCACCTCACCACACCAACGACAACGATGACAATTCCTCCCCTCTGCCAACTCGCATGAAACTTGATTAATCTTTATGCATTCAATATTCATCCATTGATGGTTCTTCTTGGTTGGATTGCTTTTATTTCTTTGGATATTGCATTTCTGTTATAGATTTTGACATTTGATCATGCCCTCTTGTTTGCTGAGAGAAAGAAAAAAAAAAGAAAAAGATTTGTCTCCTCCTCTTGCTCATAGGAACACAAAACCAACCCACTAAAGAACAGGAAAAAAAAATTTGAAATATTACACCACCTCAAGTGAAAAATCTAATTCATTTAAGCTTTTATATTTGTTCTTGTATCAGCACCTGTGTTTCTGTAGTGTGAACTCCACCTCAACTCCAAAGAATACAAATAAACAAATTAGAGGGTGCATTTGCTGACGGATGGGTTGGGAATCTCTTAATTATATTTAACTTTTCAGACTGACTTAAAAAGCACTAGATTAACACACCAACATGAAATATAGTTTATCGAGCCTCCATTAGTGTAAAAGGACTGTGACTTCATTAGCTGAAAATGGTTTAGAAGAAGGATTGACTTCCAGTTCATTGAGATCCCTTTCGTTATAAAAACCAAGTTTTTGAGGTTGAGGCAATGACCCTTCACCACTCTACATTACAACTGTAGCTGGCATGCCCGGCCTATCTGCTGGGTTACGCTGCACACTTGAAAGACCTACATGATGAAGATAGAGGAGCCCCCGAGCAATTCCATTAATAATGTCAAAGCTCTTGGGCCAATCTAGCATCATGCTTTTTCTTGCAATTTCTAGTCTTGTGATTTTTATGTTTCCACTTGTAGGATGAAAGTGAAGTTTTCTTCAGGATCAAAAGAAGTACAAAGCTACAGAAGCTGGTTGGTGCTTTGTGTACCACCATTCCCTAGATCCTAAATCATTAATAATTTTGTTTGAGAACGACCAAAATTACAAGCAAAAGACTGTTGAGGAGGTAAGACTTCATAAAAACCACTGTATATAATGTTACTTATAAAAATAATTTATTGTTGCTTAAATGATTTGTTACCTTATTATAGATTATCCCTCTAAACTTATATGTTTCTATTTCTCATGATCAACTCCTTGTTACTTCATGACTTTGTGCAGCATCAAATGGAAGATAGTGATGAAATCGATGTGTTTCTGCTCTCAGATAGGTTCACTAATATTTGAAGGTTATATAGAGAGAGGGGAAGGAGATGATGGTTGAAGTATGGAAAACTTTGTGCTACGAATATGTGATTGTCTACTTACTAGCTGATGCCCTTTGATGCATCAAAGCCAATTTGAAAAAGTTATACTTCTTGTGGAATTTAAAGTCAAGCACTATATATTTCTGTTTTCAATCATGTGTCCATTGTTTCTTAGTTGCTACTAAACTTTGTGCAGCTTGGAATGGAGATGGTGATGAGATCGATGCCTTTGTGCACGTTGATGGAGCTTGAAAAGTTAAAGCCATCATGATATATATGCAGGAAGGAGTTTGTGAAAATTTGGATATAAGCTAGATTAATAGATAGTAAAACTTTGGATTTTATTTTCTACTGTTGAACTTTATTTGATTGAATGTGGGCCGTTAGAAATTGAGATGGCTGTTAGTTATTTGGAAAACAAAAAAAAGTTTGAACGTGAACCATTGGATGACAGCAGTAAAAAAATCTTGCCAGTCCAGCCCATTAGGTTTGGTGGCACTGGCCAGGTACTAATATGATGTTTATTTCTTTGTTCTTGCTCTGCTAAAGCTTGCGTTGCGATAGCAAGTGTTGTTTCCTAATCAACACTGATTCTCTCCTTATCTGATCCTTTGTCATCTGCTGTGATATGGTTCATTATAGTTTATTTATTTATTAACGGAAACGTGAAGGATCCGGATCCTTTGCTTGGATTTTCTCAGATATGCTTGACTTTTGTCGTCATACGCCACCTCATTAAATTTAATATATGAGACCTTAAAAATTGACACATAATTATTCAAGCAAAAATCCAATTTACTCTTAATTAATAATAATAATTACCCTAACCCAACTAATGTCAAACTTAACGTCTTGTCCCTTTGTTTTTCCTTCCTTGTTTACTTTTGCACGTCTTCTTCGTGTCTATGCCCCCAAAGTCTTATCTCTCACCAACACCAAGCTTTCCTTCTTACTTTCGCACGTCTTGTTTCCCTGCGTTTCTATCCACCCCATGTAAACATTAAACATCATTATTATTCTTTTGTTTTATCTGCATGTTTCTGAGAAAATGTACTCTCTTGGAAGTTTGGAGAAAAGTCATCAACTCAGTTACCTGGTTTCTATGTGGATGACTTATATATATTCTCATTTAGTATGTTTCCCTTTTCACTATATTTTGTATTACAGGGGAAGGAACTGCGGTTGAAGCAACAATATATGTCTTTGTCTCAACATCCATACAAGACATAATTCGAAGATTTAAAGAGGCTCACAGTAACTTTGATGAATTTCCAGAGAAGGTCTAAGTCTTAATAATATGTGTTTTATCATATGTTGATTTCTAGGGAATAAACCATGTTATTTCCCAATCTGGCAGCTTGTTTTAGCTACAATGACATTATATTTATTACTTTCCTCTGATAGCTAGTCATTCAGGTTTGCTTTTCTGTGTTTCCTTTTTTCCTCGGCTCATTTTTCCTTGTCTTAATTAGGGTGATCTGCAGGTCAGTGCTACTCACCCATCTCTTAAAAATAGCGGAGGTCATGAGAGTGCTTGTTGATGAAGAGCATTTGGGTTGGAATAAAGCGTGGGACATTGCTTGCAACTGGCTTGCGAGCATATGCAGCAGATCCTGACCTTCAACAAGAATGGATGATGGTACTCTCTGTCTCTGGGCTTGATATCTGCTTAGGAACCAAAAATTTATTAAGCTTTTGGCTCTTCTTTTGTATTATTATTATTTAAATGTGTTGTATATATGCTCATGTTGTAGGTTAAGAAGGTTAACAAAATGAGGCTCGCTGAGTACATTGAAGCAACGAGTGGTGTACGAAGGTTTGGTCGCAAGTTCTTAGAACTTCTATCCTGTTCATCTTTTCTCTTTTGTCTTGAAGGTATGTCTAGTAGATTACACTGAAATTTATCACTTTCAACTGCAGGTTAGTTTAGATGCAATGTTTGATGTGCACACAAAGGGAATACACAAGTACAAAAGGCAGCTGCTTAATATACTTGGCATTATCCATCGATACGACTGTATCGAGGTGAATCTGATTTTATATGGTGAAAAACTTTGCATTCCATATTTTTAAAACTTATTAACAAAGAACTACCTTATACCTTCTAAAGGGAGCTATCACCATCCTCCAGCATTGTGCATACCTAGTTCATCTTCTTGTCACAGTAATTTAAGAAGTTGTTGGACAGTAATTTGTTGATTTTTCATTGAGATATGATGTGTAGTTGGAGCTTTTTTCTCATGTTTTTTGTATTTTAGCCCTTAACCCTAAAATAATATGAGAAAATTGTATACTTAAAGTGCATACGAATATTTTAAAATTTAAATGTATAGCCGATCGGCTATACTTTCTAAATACATTCGAATATTTTAATGTTATAGCCGAGCGGCTATACTCTTCAAATATGTTCGAGACGAACACAAAGCTTGCACTCGCAGAGGACGGAACTTGCTCTCGCCGTCACAGCTTCGTCCTCCGGGTTCGGCACCGGAAAAAGCCGCCTAGCGACCGCCTAGCGCCCGCCTAGCCACCGCCTAGCGACCCCCTATCCGCCTAGCCACCGCCTAGCCGCCTAGTGCCCGCCTAGCGCGCGTTCTTGAAGGGTTCAAAGACAATTCACAACATGCACATTCTTGAAGGTAATATTGGATATCCCACACTCGTAGTAGTAGTTCAGAACTTCAGATAGGTTGATATATAGTCAATATAATATTCTGACCATCTGTGAACTGTCGCGGGAATTTAAATCCCGTCAGCACTGACAGCATCAAGTCTTTTCGACAATTGACCAATTTTGCTTTTTACAAAATATAATCTCACATTAACTCAACAAATCTGATGTTTTGCAGTTCATAAACAACCTTTCCGATGACCTTCTGCTGAAGACGCTTGGGCCTAACTTCAGATCCTATTTCTATCGAGCTTTTCATAAGTTCAAGAGAGTCTTTGCAGAATTTAAAAGGTCTCACCATGAGGTATGTGTCGAAAGTCCTTTGTTAATTGGTCTGTAACAGCTATTGGAAAAGGAAAATATTTCTTCAATGTTCTTAGGAGGACACTGAGGCCACTCCTATGATACATCTTTATAGTTTTCTGCCACTAAGTCTGCTGTTGTTTACATTTGCATATCTCTTTACTTTTATAGAATAGTTTCCAAATTTTGGTGGTTGGTTTTCTAATTTTCAAGAACTCTGAAGGCACGTGTAACTATATCACTTCAATCTTGAAAATGTTGAGCCACAAATCTTTGCAAAACTTAAACATGTAACGGATTGTCTCTTCCTACCTCCAAAATTATTAGTTGTAAAACACTGAGAATTACATGACAGATGCTTGTATTACCCTAAATAATCTCATTTAGCAGGTTTTCTTACCATGAATGCATATGCTATATTGTTGAGGACTGCACCATTATGTACAATCACGACCGCCTAGGCCAATTTTCTTTATGCAGTTACAACATTTCATCAAAGAGAAACTGGAAAAGAATGAATTCACAGCAGCTCTTGCAAATGAGGAATTAGTTTTCTTTATGGTATGTAGTCAATTTTCTTTCTTTTTAATTATTTATGTACTCTTTTCTGCCGCAACTTTTTCTCAAGAAATACGTCCCATTTAAGCATTTTCTTGTGGTATTGTCCTGAATCAGGGTTGCTCTCATCAAAACTCACTAGCTGAAAGCGTCACAAGTTCTGACTGAAAGAAATTTTCGAGAATTTGATATTGTTAACAGGTATATTTGATAGCAACTGTTACCATTTTGGCCTAAGTTAGGAGATTTGATGCATAGATCAATGCCTACAACAGCGACTGTAACCATTACAAACATGAATGTATAATAGTTTGAAAGATATCTGATGCATGTTTTTGTTAGATTTTCTTACGGCCCTAAATCTGTCGTTGTATTTCCTTCAATCAAAGACCCTAGTGAACTATCCCATCGAACCACTCATCTAGTATATTTTCAATCTGTTTGTTGATGTTGATGTCAAGCATAGAGGTGTCAAACGGGATGGGCCGGGCCAGCGTGGCACAAGCCCAGCCCATTTAAATGGGGCGCGGCACGGCACGAGCACGAATATTAGTGGGCACGGCACGAAAGCTTGGGTCGTGCCAGGATAAAAAAATTAGTGTAATCACTGTGATATGAATTGATCTTTGACCTTCTCTAAAGATAGATGAAGTGTGACTGAACACAACATGAGCTTCCTTAGAGAATGGAAAGGCCGAGCGAGATTTATGTAGCCAACTTAAAGTAGTTGAATTCAGCTTAGCTGATTGTGATGTCAAGTATTGTGGACCAACTGAAATTTTCTTTTGCTGTAACTTCTGCAAGATGGAATCTGTGTATTGACTATTTCAAGATTTTAGATTGGTATATAGTATATACTTGTTTGTAGTGTAACAGTGATAATTCTCTTAGAATTTGCTTTCTCCAGTTTTTGTTTAGGGCAAAGAATCTTGAAGTTCCCAAATTGCGTGAGGAAGGATCTCCTAAAATGCCACTGCAATGTGCACGTGTTATAAGGTGCGCAATTATGGTCACTTCAATCATACTCACTTAGCCAGTTAGTGATTGAGGTGACCAGTCTAGAATTTTCAGATTCTTTAGAGGGCATGTGTTTGGTATCGTTTTTGACCATTGTGTGATGTTTTGAGTGAACTGTTTCCTCAGGTTCTAATTCTGCTGTGATATTTACTATGTGCAGGATGGTTCGAGATGGCTATTTCGGCTTTAAAGACTATTTTCAATCTCTATGTGATACTGTGGACGGTGGTAAAGACTTCTATTTGCTTGGTTCTGATTTTGAGAGCTATTTAGACGCTCAGGCAATTATTTTTGTTTACTTGGTTGTCCCAACCCAAAGCATATATATGCAGTTTGAGTTTGGCGTTGTATAACTTACTATGGTTGCATGGGATTTGAATCTATATGACTATAGGCTACTGCTGATAAAGCATTTGCGGATCCAAATAAGTGTGGACTCAGATGAGCATCCTTAGCATAGCCGGGTCGGGGATATTTAGCAGCAACAGAAGAATCCAAGACTACGCGGAGAAAACTTGGGGAATTGAACCATGCAGATTCCCTTATGATGGCTAGCTCACCCTCACCCTCACCCTCATCCACATGTATAAATAAAATAATTGAAGAAAAAATTGTAGCCCAATGGGCTAAGGTGGTATTTTAGCACTAAACCCTTAACTGATATGACAAAATTGTATAGTTAAAGAGGCTATACTCGTGTATAGCCGTTCGGCTACTCTATTTAATTACTAGTATATTCGAATATTCTAAAAGTATAGCCGCGCGGCTATACGCTTCCAATATATTCAACACGAAATCGAAGCTTGCACTTGCAGTCACAGCCATTTCGCTTCTCAATCAACTCAAGCTTCGATTTGTTTTCTTTCAGTTTCGGCTACTTCGTCCTCTAGGTTTGGCACCGAAAAATGACCCAACCCACCTAGCTGCCTAGGCCGACTTTTCAAACACTACGATTTTCTGAAAGTCTGAAACTCGAAATTGAAAATTTTTTGCTGCAAATTTGAGCTTGAGATTGGGATTGGGAAGCACAAGTCAGTTCCATAGAAGAAGAGATCATGAGACTCTTAATTCATCTAATTCCATTCCTTTCCATGTTTCCCGCTTTATTCTCTTCTCTTTTGGCTCTCTCCCAAACGACATGTTCACCTCACCACACCAACAACAACGATGACAATTCCTCCCCTCTGCCAACTTCGCATGAAACTTGATTAATCTTTATGCATTCACTACACCAGAACACATCATTACGACACACAAAGTACGCCGTAAAGTATCATTCACGATGCAAAGCTGCAAGCAGTAAAAGCCCGCATCGTAAATAATCTTCCTCAATAACGACATGTTTTCCAGTCACAAATAATCCCATGAAAAACACACCGTAATAAGGTTTACGGTATGCATATAACGTCGTTATAATTACTTTAAACGGCTTGCGTAGTGAGCCGTAATTCAGTGCAAGCAATTACGACATGCACTAATCGTTGTAAATTAAGACTATCAATTAGCAATTAAGGCTTATTCTGCATGCCGTGATTGGGGGGTTTTTTTTTTTTTTTTTGGCAATAATAAAACTGATGTTGATTGAATCATTCATTCAATACCTGTTACCTGTTGAAACTCAAAATTTACAAAACGAATGCCATCTAACTCGGTATAAAAGAATAAAATAGATAACAAGAACGCGATTAATGAAGGGATTAAACTCCATGTGATTGGATTAATCAATAGAAATTTCAAATACAAAATCATAACATTTGATTGATGAACTGATGCACCTAATGTCAAAAGAGCAAAACAAAAAGACCAAGCAATTTCAATAGATGCTCTAACTTTCAAATCTCCAGACCTAAGCGACTTCATCTCCATAGAAAGCAAAAGATACTAAGCAACATCGAGTGTAAGTAGTTGACCATTTCCTCTCCGCAAATAAGCTTCTTCTTGCTGAAACATCACCCATAACAAAAGAAAATAAATGAGTAAATCCATTAAATCACATACTAAGCAATCAGTAAATTAATCCCAATTTACTGAGCAATCTATTATTCTTAATCCACTCAAAATTAAAAGACTATCTATCTATCTCAATAGGAATCTATCCACTAATAGTATACTAAACACAAACAAAAACTCTACAACAATTCAATTATCTACACCAATACACCCAGCATATTAATTAATTTAAATTTTTTTAAAATCACTGGTGCACTACATACCTCTTTATTTAATCGCATATACGATAATTTGAAGAAGATAAAAAAGGGAACAAAAGCGGATTAAAAAACTGAGATCACCTCTTATTCAGCAAAGTCGTTATTCAATTAGAACAGGGTATGTATGTTGCGTAGATTTAGCTCCACCAAAATGGATTAAGCTGCCTCCTCAACTTGTGATACTCGCAAGTGCACGAACCGTTGGTAGTATAGCATATGTAAGTGCGAGGTCGATTCCACAGGGATTGGTGATTGAATGATCCAATTTAGTTTCCCTACACAAAATAGAAACAAAAACAAAGAACATAAAACAAGGAAGAAAGAAATAAGTAACTCAAGCAAATAAGTTCCCAAGTTCAATT